ATCAAGTCTCTGAGCAATGAAAGCTACTGCGCAAGCGATGACCTCCGGACCTTCTCCACAACCACCCAACAGGACGCCCCCCCTTCGCTTCTTAAAAAAAGGAGCGTATTCGGAATCAAGATGGGCGGGTGTTTTGTGGAAGCCGAAGGTGCAAGTAGAATCCTTCAAACGAACTCTAGAAATCGAAAATTTCGGATAATCCGAGCTAAAATTCGAAACAGAAGAAAAATAAACATAGTCAACTACAACGCTTTTTTGTAAAAAAAGAAAGGATTTTATAATGACTGTAGAGCTGGACCACCTTGTTATTGAAAAAAGTTGGAATGAAACGATCATCGCCGCAGGTAACAACGGCTTAGCAATGCTCATGGAGAAGGACTTCTCATTCGAGGAATCTGGCTTGAATGCGCGATCGCTGCTATACGTTGCATTGCTGGAAATCCTATAAGATGTTATTTGTATGTGGTAACGGTACATTTTCCGAATCCGAACTGACACACCCCAATGTTGGGAATTCCGGGTCCTACTGTAATTTCGACGCACGTGCCTGCTCATGATTTGTGTGGTACGTGCGAAACGCCATCAAACCGTAACAACATTTTATTTCGGGCAGATGATGCCCCCGGGGTGCGTTTCTGGCTCCCCGATGCGACGCACCACCATGCGGCGAATCTATGCAGGGTACTCTCCACTTGAGGCCCCTACCCCCCCCACCTAAATACCACAAACCCCCACACGACACACCTCCCACCTCTGCGTTATCAATTTTGTGTACTACGAACGCACTTTGGAATTTGGAAAAATCTCTTTGCATGCTGAAGCACAATTCGCGGAATCCGGCGGGGAGGGGAATGAGGGAAATTCCCCTCCCTAAATTTCTTGCTTAAACTATTATTTAACTTGACCACGAAACTTTCAATAAAAAATATTTCGGACTTTTATTAACAGGACTAACCATCGTATGCAGAATGAGGCCGTGTAGCCTTGAGACGTTTTACAAAATTGTAATAATACAGATTCGTTCTGTGAGATCAGAAAATTTTGTCTCTGTAAATACCAGTGTAGTATTTCTTCGTAGTGGTTAGAATTTCTTTCTGCCTCCTCCGAACGCATTTAAAGGGCTGATCGGCGAATTTATTCAGCTCGTAAAAATACGTGTATATAGTAATTTTAAAAACACTATAAAGTTTTAATTTTATTTTACACATTTAACTATTTTGTCTGGATAGTTTGAATAATTCTTTACTAAAAAATTCCATTCTTAAGTGATCAGTTTCGTAACTGTATTAACTACTGTAGCATGATTAAGTTCACCTTTAGCGTAACGAATGGCCAAATTAAACGAAAAAAAGTGGATTAAATATTATACCGATATTCATATTGTAGCATATTACATAACACTATTCATTTTCAATTCCTCGCCTAAATGGGCTTTGTCTAATAATTCTCCTATCTCGAATTACAATAAATGTTATTCTACTACATTATTTCGTAATAATTATTATTAGAGGACACATTTCATAGACATTATTTATACAATGTACACAGGCGTCCAGGAGAGGAAAAAGTGGCGGGAACTAGCACTAAGCCCCGACTTATAGGGCTTCAAATTTCTTCATTCAAAGAATGAAAAATATATTGATCTCTTCATCCAAATTTAACGCAATAAGATATTTTGAGGAATTCTGTTTGGTGCATTGGGTGAGGAGGGAATATTTTAATTTTGGAATAAGGGGACGCCCGTGATCTTGATATCTGGGCCCCCAGCTTTTACGCGAGGTCGGCCACCGGCTTAGTCAAACACAGCGCCCTACGCCTTCGGCGCCTCTAGCGGTCAGACCGGGCTCCGGGTGCTCTGGCTTCACCTGGCTTCTCGGCGAGTGGCATTGTTCGGGATGGATGTAGAAAAACCCCTTTTTTTTTTGAAAAAAATATCGAAGCTCTGTCTTAATGGCTTCTCGCGAGTGCATTGTTTGGGATGGATGTAGAACTTTTGATATCGAAGCTCTGCCTAACTTGGCTTCTCGCGATGTGGCATTGTTTGGGATGGATGTAGAACTTTTGATATCGAAGCTCTGTCTTCACTTGGCTTCTCGGCGTCCGGCATTGTTCGGACACATGTAGTGGACAGTGCCGAAGATATCTGTGCGAAGGCCGAGAAAGGGTCAATGAAGTGATAACGCGACGAACATTAATCTCACGTCGTTCGTTCCCTATTTGTTGAGACTTGTTTCACACGCTGGGCGGACCCCGGCGAAATCATCAGGGCCGCTTACGTTGGGCCGGAGGAGCTGGTCGCCGAGGGAGGGGAATCCTCCGACGGGCCTTCGGTGCGGAACGAAGCTTGCGAAGCCACCGCTGCCGTTTGTCAACGACGGCCCGGACGGGCATCCGAGGGAGCAGTTGGCGTTTTAAAGGTCGAGGTAGTAAATAAAT